ATCATTAAATAAATTAAAAAGGGGTATAATGGTAATTAGTATATCTAATTATGGTAAAAAAATAATTCAATTAATCTCTCCTTAATTAAGTAAACCCTACAAAATCAGCATCCTTAACCCTAAAGAATACAAACGACTTCCTCCAATGATTGATGCCTCTGTTATTCTTTTCCACCAAAAAGGCTTCCAACTTCTTCAATCGCTGACCAAAAAAAATCAAAGACCCCCTTCATGTCGATCCTCCACCAGTCACCATTATTGATCGCCATCACTTGCGTCCACCATCTCAGCACGGTGATTCTAGCAATCGTTCTTCACCCTCCATCGATAAAATTGAAGATCAAAATCAATCTATCCCATGATTTATGGAGCAGTTACCTTAAAATGTGATCGAATAACACCCAAACGCGACTGAGATAGAGATGCAACAGAGAAATTCTGTCAATGGACGTCCATAAGGAACGATGGCTCCGATTTCTCATAAAAAATGGTCGTAAATAGCGGAGGCATGAAGAAGACGATGGTGAGGGAAGGTTCCAAACGCAGGTATTTGCTTACAAGAACCCTGAGGTCTCTATCTCTTTCTCTCTGTAATAATCTTTCTTTATCACACACAAACACACACATTAAAATGTAGAGAGTAAAATTATGGCTTGATTTATGTGCTTGATTTATGCTCAGTTCTAATGCTGGATTTGAAAAATTATCAAAAAGAATAAACACTTGAAGCTCTTTAATCATTCGCAAGAAAAAAACTATAATAACTGTACCTGATTGTTTGTCAATAACTATTAGTGTCTAGTCTGGGTACCTTCTAACATGTCCTTACTTTTATAACTGATTAAAGCTGTGTGTAGATGTATCACACATGATGTTGGTGTAGAATTATATTTCTTTTTATTATGTTGTCGCATGTCACTTTATGATATGTGTTGTTAGTAGCATGATAAGCCATGAAGCATATACACACACTTTAGAAGTGTATTTTCACTGAGGTTTAGGGTTTAGGAGCATTACAAATTCAAAGTGTTGTGAATTATTACATTCTACATTATCACAATGAAACCCTATTTATCTAACATTGACTTTGACCATATTTATATATCTTTATGTTGTTTATGCAAATCTCAATTTACATGTTGTTTCAGTGGCTTACAAGCTGTCCAAGAGGAAAGTTGATGAGAACTTGCATTTACTGCATAACATCGTTTTTGGAAAACGAACAAAGGTGAAAAATCAACAAATCAAGCAATCTTTTTATCTTTTTTCATATATGAAAGCTAAGTTTTTGTGGCTTCTGAATATTATGCAAAAAGTATATTATTCGGTTAGAATATTCAACAAAGAATGTGAAGAATATTATGCAACTAGTATATTATTCTGTTAGAAAATTCAACAAAGAATGTTACTTTTTTCTTAGTCACATTTTGTGTTAACATGATATTTTCATGTATTTATATTTCAAATGTTTTGGTCGTTGGATATATTCTTGATAATACAAATACTTTAAGAATATTCAAAATCATTCTGCAAGAATAGTTTATTCTGTAAGAATATATTATTGCTATATTTTGATAGAATTGTAGTTAACTATTTATATATTTAATGTGCAGTTGTTACAAGTGTTCACTACAAAATATTTGGCAATGAATTTGTGATAGAAATGGTTTGAAGACCTGATGGGAAAGGTTTGAAAAATGAATTAAAAAATGATCACACTCACTGTTTAAGAATATTGTTATTTTTTAAGAATTACACTTGTTATTCTTTCAGAATGTTGTTATTATTCAATAAATCACAATCATACAATGTAATCATTTGGTATATTATTAGTTCAATAATCGATTTTGTGTATTCTTTTAGAATGTATTTACTAGTTTATGGTTGACATTCTGTCATTCTGACAGAATAAAATCGAAAAATATATTTACTAGTTTATGGTTTGAATTTTATCATTCTGACAGAATAAAATCGAATTTTTAAATTTAAATTAACGTAAAATATTCAGATTTTTAAAAATAAAAGAATTAATTATCCCTAAAAATCCGAAATTTTCCTTTTTTAATAGAGGTTAATTGACTAACATGCCCTTATGCTGAAATTTGTGGATTATATGGTATATGTTATCCTATTCTAATATCATAGACCCTCAGATTATGACATTTGATTCTATTCCATCCGGTGGTCCAAATCTGTGCATTCTGGCACACAATAGTTAGTAAAAACAAAATAACCTAAGCATATATATATATATATATATATATATATATATATATATATATATATATATATATATATATATATATATATATATATATATATAGGGAGAGGTTATATTAAAAACGTAAAAATGTTGAAAACGCGAGAATAATTGTGGATCAATCATTTTTTTAAAGGGCAATATAGGAATTGTACAATTACATTAATGAAAAGTAGTCAACTTAATTAAATGATAGTTTTCCTATAATATTGCAATCATTTATTTCAATTTATTTTTCCAAAAATAATTACATTTTTTTACCACCATCTTTTTTTTCTATCAAATTAAAATTAAAATTATGTTATAATTAAATCACTTCATTTTTATTTATATATCAACAAAACTCATTTTAATTTCATAATTTTCATTCGATTTCATTCAGAAATGAATTCATATGATTTCATTCTCAATCGAATAAATCATAATGTAGTTTTATAAATTTTTTGGATTACATTTTTTTACTATATTCTTTTAGATGATGAAAAATTCAAATACACTAATAATCATATATGAATAAATTTATAAATATAAAATGAATAGAGAACAATACAAAAAAATCAACGTCCTTATAATTATTAATGAATAAAGCACAATTTATAGATAAAATTTACAACACATTTAGAATCAAGACAAAAAAATCAACGTCCTTATAATTATTAATTATAAATTAATAAAAGACAATCTATTGATACAAAATAATAATCAACTACAATTGTAATCATAAATGAATATATCATGATACAAATCTAAAATAAATACAATATAGTTTTAATCATAGATGATAAAAGAATCAAGTTACATATTTATATATTCATCGCCTTCGTTGCTCTTCTTCTCTTTTACTATGAATAAGCAAAAAAAAACAGCAAATTAGTACCAAAAAAAATCTATTCAAATACAAAATTAACTTAATCGTGTTAGTAGTCAATGAATTGTTAAATCAATTAACAAGATATTAACTTAAATAAAAAATCAAGATAAGAAACTAGAACTCAAAACAATCAAATACATATAGATAACAATTATCATTTTGTTTAGAAATCCAGTGGCATTACCAAAAGTAAAAAACAAAGCACATCATTATTGAGGTTTATATAGAATGAAAATCAATTAATAATCATATAGAACAACGAAGAAGTTCTTAAAAAAGTAAAAAGTTATATAGAACATACGAAGATTTTCTAAACAAAAATAAAAAATTATATAAAACAAACGAAATCAAATATGATGGTCAATATGATAATGCGAAGATAACTAGGAGCTCCATGACTTAATTGCGATAAATTTAATTCAATTTTAACTTTCGATGAAACCTTATCAGATCGACAAAAAAGTGTGAAGATCATGGGAATTTATAGAAAACAAAAGGGGAAAACATAATTTTTACCGGCTGCCATGGGAAATCGCTATAACCTTGACGGCGTTGTTGCTATATAAATCGCCTAATGTTCCATCATATACTCAATATTTTATCTTTTTCTTCACCGTAAAATCACCTGTAAGATAAGAAGTATATACAAAATGCTACTTTTGATATAATGATCTTATAGAAAAAATCAGGTTAGCGAGACAAAGCCATCAAATTGCCACCGCGATTGTGTTTCGATATCTCGTTCATAAATATTTTTATTAAACCATAAAAACCCAAAAAACTGTAAACGATATGAGGATGGTGATAATGGTGTCAGCTGCGGAGGCGGATGGTTCTCGATTCGTTTAGGGTTTGATGGCGTGAAGTAGATGTATAGTGAGATAGTAAGGAAACTTGAGAGAAGAAGGAAACGTGAGCTGATTTTGTGGAAAGAATGAAATGAGCAATTACCTTCATACCCTTATGTTAATATCTGTCATATTAAAAATTTCAGTTTGATTACATAACTTTAATAATTGACATAAATGACACATTTATATCATCCATTAGATCTGAATAATCGAATGATCAAGATCTATTCGTTCTCAACCTTTTCAACGTACTCAATTTAACCTACCTCTCTCTCTCTCTCTATATATATATATATATATATATATATATATATATATATATATATATATATATATACACACCCCCTCATTTAGGCTCGCGAGCACGCTAAATTGTTCACGAGCCGAGCTCGAGCTTCATTTTAAGGCTCGAATCGAGATCGAGGTCGAGGTCGAGTTTCCTCAAAACTAAACGAGCCGAGCTTAAGCTTGATCAGGCTCGAGCTCGGTTCGGCTCATTTACACCCCTATCTAAAAAGCTACAAACACGTCTTCAAACCTGAATTATACTTCTCTAAAGATAAAACCATGTGATTATTTGGAAGGATGATAATATTAGAAAAGTAAACAAACAAGAAAATTTTATTATGGTTCAAATAAGAGAAGTCTAAATTACAGAGACCAGTTCACTTATTCCAAATAAATTAACTTGGATACGGGAGACCTCACCAAAAATCTACTTCATCTTAATATTTAATCCGCTACTTCGGATGTTGCAAAGAAATCCTCCCGTGAATATGAGACCAAGTAATGCAGGAGCAGGTGATTAATTAATAATTAGACATTGCCGATGCTCTCTTCATCGTTGACTTAATACTTTAGAACCCCCCCCCCCCCCCCCCCCACCACACACATCCACCGACCCACCCACCACCCTACGCACCCTTTCCTATATATAGACATTGCATACGCCCTTAATCTAGCACAACAGAACCTTCTTTCTCTCGAACATCTTCTACTTGGTGAAATTGTCATAATCATGGCTTCATCAACTTTTTCTTCTTTGTTTAAGCTTTCAACATTCATTTTATGTTTATGGGTTCTGTTTGGGACTACTTCGGGTCAGCTATCTGCAAATTTCTATGCTAGAACATGTCCTAATTTTCGTTCGGTTATAACAAGAGCCGTGAATTCAGCTGTTGCAAGTGAAGCTCGCATGGGAGCTTCACTGCTTCGCCTCCATTTCCATGATTGCTTTGTTAATGCAAGTATCCTACTTTCTAATGCGTCTCTTGGCCTTGTCCACACATAATTAGCTTTGCTTAATTACAGTCAAGTTGGTAGCTGTCTTTCTCAAGTTATATGATTTTATCTTTCACCATTTAATGCATATATAACCAAACTAACATGTAGGATTTAGCTTCTTTTAGAGTCTTGATTTCAAATATAAGAGGATCACTAATGCATTCAACTCTATAAGGCCTAATGCATTGCAAAATCAACATCCCGTTTTCATATAACTTTGTGCATGATTTAATCCTACAAATCCATTGAACCTATATATGAAGTTCAATGGAACGTATATATAATTTCTTTGTTAGGTAATCATTTTTCCATTCAACCGTACATTGTGCATTAAATTTTAAATCCAGTCGTATGCCAACTCGGTGTGTTTATCCCACCGAATCCTGGAGTCTGATAATTCCATTCAACCATACATCGTGAATGCTCTACGATTCTATATCCTTATGATATTTAGAAATAAATAAAAACATTTGCACATGTCATTATCAAAAGCGTTTGATTTGAAAAAAACACATTATCTATTTGAAATAGATCATCCATCATGCGGGGATTGTATCTTTGTATATTGTGTGTGTGAAATATTGACCAACAACTTATTCTCGTTGTTGTGTCCTTTTCTAGTTGCTTAAATCCCCTGGCCACAATTGACTTGATACGTTTGTTTAATTTGAGTTCCATTCATAGTGGCTTCTCACACGGTGTTTACTTGTTGACTTCAAAATGTATACTTTAATAGTTGAACTTCTCATCAATACTCTTTCTGATTATACAGATGCTTATGAACAGAAAATGCCAAAAGTATTCTTCATTCTTTATGGAGCCAACGAAAACGACAAAAAGTCGTTTGTTTTATTTTCTTAAGAAATAAGTTTTATCATTAATTAGTTGAAGAAAACAAATATTCTTCCGTTAATTAACATGCTTTGAAATATGTAGGGATGTGATGCATCTGTGTTACTGGACGACACCGCAAACTTTACCGGAGAAAAGAATGCGGGTCCAAATAGCAATTCCATCAGAGGATTCAATGTCATTGATACCATTAAAACGCAATTAGAGCGCCAATGTCCAGGTGTTGTTTCTTGCGCAGATATACTATCTGCTGCTGCTCGAGATTCAGTTGTGGCTGTAAGTAGAAAATTAAAGTTCAGCGTAAATAAGTTCTTTCCCTACAACCTCCGGTTACTCTAGAGGTTATCAGTTTAATTACGTCATCAACCTTAGTACAGTGATTTTGTTTTATTTCAGCTTGGTGGACCAGGTTGGAGCACTGTATTTGGAAGAAGGGACTCCACAACTGCAAGCCAAAGTGCCGCAAATTCTAACCTCCCTTCACCAGCTTCAAGTCTTAGTAGTCTCATCTCATCCTTTTCAAACAAAGGATTTACTGCTAACGAAATGGTAGCTCTCTCTGGTGAGTTTACTTGGATGGATTGGGCAGCATATCCTTTGCGATATGAACTTTAAAGTTCATTAATTATCTTGTGTCGCTTATTTAATTAATACATCATCAAGGATGTCTTAAACGAAGGATACAATAAGTTACACCTTCTATGTTTACTCAGATTTGAGATGACTTCTCATTCTTCTAAATTTAACAACTCAGCAATCATATTTTTTAATAAACAGATGACTTCAATACATGCATGGCTCCTCACAAATATATATGTATGTGTCCTGTAGGAGCTCATACAATTGGTCAAGCAAGGTGCTCCGTATTCCGTAATCGTCTTTACAACGAGAATAACATAAATTCATCCTTTGCGACATCCTTGAGAGCAAACTGTCCTTCCAGTGGCGGTGACAATAATCTTTCACCACTAGATTCTTCAGCAACATCTTTCGATAATAGATACTATAATGATTTGATTAGCCAGAGGGGATTTCTGCATTCAGATCAAGAACTATCTAACGGGGGTTCAGCTGATGCACAAGTGAGGACCTATGGATCGAATCCTTCTGTTTTCTTTCGTGACTTTGCACGTGCTATGGTGAAGATGGGCAATCTTAGCCCTCTAACCGGCTCCAATGGTCAAGTTAGGACCAACTGCAGAAGAACCAATTAATAACCTCTTTTCTTACACAGCAGGAAAATGTCCATCAACCGGTGTTGTAACACCATCTTACATTTCTTTTTCCTATCACCTCGCAGGCTTGCTTCTTTAAATAAATTTCTAAGCCTTAAAAAAACATCTATCGACCTGTACTTTGTAAGAAACTGAGATATGATAGATTCATTAATAAATAATGCATGTGTTATTCTCTAAAATGTTGTCTCGTTGATGTTTTCTGGTGAATATTCCGTATAAAACTTGAGGTTGTAATTCTTAAAGTTGTTGCTGTAAGCTGTTGTAATAAAAAATCAAAATATGACTAGCCCACACACTTTGCCACTTAGATTTTGAGGTCTCGGAGTTCTATCTAAGGCGTTGATGGTTTTATGATACTTACAAAAATAAATAAACAAATAAATAAATAAATAAAAATCAAAAATCAAAATCCAAAATATTCTGACTTGTCTTTCGCATGTAGTTCAAAAATAAAAAATTAAAAAAAAGAATAATAATTAAAAAAAAAATTTTAAAAAACGTAATTAAAGAAACATCAAAAAATAATAAATAACAAAAAAGTTAAAAAAAAACATAAACATAAAGAGATAATATATAATATATAAAGAGGTTATTTAAGAATTATAAAGATACGTAGTAATAATAATAATAATAATAATAATAATAATAATAATAATAATAATAATAACTAGTGGAAAAAATCCGGGCTTCGCCCCAGGCCGTTTTTTGTGTTTTTTATGAAAAAATGTAAAAGTTTTGACTGTAAGGACCAAAAGTGTTAAAATGACTAAAGAATTAAAGGGGTTGGAATTAGCAAATTTTTAGAAAATGGACCAAGTTGTCAATTCCTTAAAGTTTTGTGGGCAAACTTTGATTATTAAAAGGTTCCTAAAAAATGTAAAAATTTTAATTGCAATGACCAAAAGTGTCAAAATGTAAAAGTTTTGACTGTAAGAACCAAGAGTGTCAAAATGGCTAAATAATTAAAGGGGTTGAAATTAGCAAGTTATTAGAAAAGGGACCAAAGTTGTAAATTCCTTAAAGTTTTGTGGCCAAACTTTGAATACTAAAATGTTCCTAAAAAATGAAAATTTTTTGATCGTAATGACAAAAAATGTCAAAATGGCTAAAGTTGAGGGGCAAAATTAACAAAAAAAAAATGCAAATCACTGTTCACAAGGGAACATGAAATTAATATATATATATATATATATATATATATATATATATATATATATACACTAAAATGTTCCTAAAAAATGAAACAAAATTTATTGTAATGACAAAAAAATGTCAAATGGCTAAAGTTGAGGGGCAAAATTGACAAAAAAAAAATGAAATCGCTGTTCACAAGGGAACATGGAATTAATATATATATATATATATATATATATATATATATATATATATATATAATAAACAAGAAACGTGACTCTATTATGGATGCACGCAACATGCTATCTTTTCTTAGTTCTGGATAACAAATCTACAAAATAAATAAATAATGAATTATAACGCATTGAGACTCGTGCTTGACATGATTCTTTTAAAATATTCGAAGTCTGTTCCCATGGTATAATAGTTGAAACAGTAAGTATTGTTGGATCTGACCACTTGTCTAAAAAGTTTACCGAAATTTGTATGCAAACAGAAAGAGAAGAGAGTATTCGACCTAGGTGTGTTTGAATGAGAATGCACGGTTACTTCATATACCAAACTTTGTAACCGCACTCATTAATTTGTAGTTAATGAATAAATTATGAATTAGCTCACATTAAATGCATCAATTACAAAAATTATATCATGGACCAAAACTGTAAAATTCTACAAAAACGTGGCTTGCATGGGCCCGAATTTCGAAGCTGCATTTGTGTCCGCCAGGTCATGCCCACACACGAGTTCGTTGAATTTTTACTGCAAAATCCATGATTCGCACCACCCATCGTGCATAGGTGTTAGAGTAAAACTATACATAGAAGCTTGTAAACTCATTACACATCTATGTTTATAATCCCACTAGGAGTTTGCATTTTTTTTCCTTTGTAGGACTCATTCTCACAACCAATTTATTTGCTACCTTGATTTTCAAATACTCATCTTTGAACATGGATATCTCGTTCACTCATTTTCCTTTTTGGAGACAACATATATCATTTCGAAGCTCTCACAGAGGAGAACATAGCTCACTAAGGATTAATAATATATATACATATATATATATATATATATTATATATATATATATATATATATATATATATATATATAAATGTGTCCAAAGTTTAATAAAAGTACATAATTTTTATTAAAATTTCCAACAATCCCCACATGAATGGAGATCGATCTTTGCACAAAAACTTCCATACAAAATCTCTAACAGTTGAATCCTAAATAGGATAGATAAGTGGTACCCTTTGAACCCTCCCTTGAGAACTATACATAGTCCCATATTTGTCACTAGACGGGATGTCCTTGAACTGAGCTTCCATTTATGTAGATGAGAATATAATTCACACAAGCCTCTTCCTGACAAGGTCATATCCTCATAGTTGTGTTCCTTATGGTCATGAAACACTAACGTGGTTCTATAAGAGCTTTTAGTGCATCAGATTTTTGAGAATTTTCGAAATTTAAAGAAAAAAATAAAGAAAATCTTTTTGGATTTTTGAGAATTTTGAAAAATCAAAGAGAAAAGAATGTTACCTTAGTGCACCGGCCTACAAGGAAATGTACCCTCTCGCAACTAAGAAGTAACTGCAAGAAAGAAAAAGAAAGAAAATTAAAAAATGAACAGTGAGTTCTGATTGCTTCTGAAGATTGGAACATTTTAGAATGAACAATATGAATTCTGAGATGAATAATGAAATCCGATAGCTTCTGACATTTGGAACATTTCAGAATTACACAAATAATTTCAGAATTGATTTAGCATCAATCACTCCGAGTCCTTAACATAATTCGATTAAAGGTAGCTTCTGGTAGAGCCTTTGTAAATATATCCACCATTTGATCTACTGATCGAACAAAATGAACTTCTACGTTTCCATCTTCAACATGATCTTTTATAAAATGAGATCTTAAGGCGATATGTTTTGTTTTAAAGTGTTGAATTGGATTGTGACAAATACGAATTGCACTTTCTTAATCACAATAAAGAGGAATCTTCTTCATGCTTATTTCATAGTCTCTTAATTGACTTTATATATAACTAAATTATTTGAGATGTACATGAAGCAACTGCAATATATTCAGCTTCAGCAGTTGAAAGTGAAACACACGTCTGTTTTCTTTGATTGCCAACTAATGAGTTTTCCATCCAAAAACTGACATTCACCTGTAGTACTCTTCTGATCGAGCCCACAACCTCCAAGATCAGCACCTGAAAAAGCCTATATGAAAAATCAAGAATTATTAGAATACCATAAACCAAGGGATGTTGTTCGCTTTAAATATCTAAAAATGTTTTTCACTGCTTGCATATGTGGCTCTCAAGGATTAGCTTGATAACGTGCACAATAACACATTGCAAGCATAATATCTGGCCTGCTTGCTATGAGATATAACAGTGATCCAATCATTTGACGGTATTGTGTAAGATATGTAGCAGGTTTATCAAGAGATGGATATAATTTTATTCTGAATGCCATGGGAACTTTCACTTTCCAATCACCTGTCATTCCGGATTTCATAAGTAATGATTTCGTGTAAGCTTCCTGATTAATGAAAATACCTTCTTTACTCTGTTTTATGTTTAATCCAAGAAAGAAATTTATTGGTCCCAACGAACTCATTTCAAATTTAGTTTCCATCAATTTTTGGAAATCATTAGTCAACTTGGGATTATTCGATCCGAAAATAAGGCCATCAAGATAAATTTGAACAATCATAAGATGTTCATCTTCCTTCTTACGAAAGAAAGTAGGATCAACAGCACCTTGTTTTAAACTTGGATTGTTTAAGAAATTTAGTCATAGTTTCATACCAGGCACCGGGAGCCTGTTTCAAACCATAAACAACTTTATCAAGAACATAACAATGATCTGGATATTTGTCATTTACAAAACCTGGTGGTTTTTCAACATAAACAGTTTCTTCAAGTTCTCCATTCAGAAACACACATTTCACATCCATTTGATAAACTTCAAAGTTTTTATGAGCTGCATATGCCAAAAAAATATGAACATGTTCGAGTCGAGCAACAGGAGAAACTGTTTCTTTGTAATCAATTCATTCCTCATGGCAATATCCTTTGACCGCAAGACGTGCTTTGTTTCGGAACAACATTTCCTTCTTTGTCCATTATATTCTTGCATTCCCATTTCAGACCTATAACAGAAGAATCTTTCGAAGTTGGAATCAGTCTCCAGACTTTGTTTCTCTCAAACTCATTCAGTTCGTCTTGTATTGCTTTGTGTTGAATCAAATTTCAATTAGGACCGTTAGATTCTACGCAGGCAAACAATTAAGAACGTAATTATGAACACAAGAATGGCTTTGAATGTGTCGTATGATTAATGCTTTAACACCTCAGAAGAGCTCGATTAAGAACTTCGACTGTAGAGGTGTTTAGGGTTACAAAACAATCAACGATAATTATTACGACTACATCTAATGCATACATGCATGCACTATTTATAGTATAACCCTACTAGATAATCACGGATGGACAGGCCCAAATCCGGATACAAAACACAAGCCCATGACGCAACACAGTTAGACCCAACAATCTCCCCCCTTTGCGTCAATGGAGCCGAAAGCTCACTTCGGTTGAGCTGCAGAAGACTTCTTTATTGTTTTGAACACCTTCGGTATGATGGCCAATAGATGATGACGAAACGTTATGTACCACCGAAGCATGTCTGTGAAGTTCTTCTTGTCTGCTTCTGAGTTCTGCTTGCACCGATGAATAATGTTGATGATGTGCTCCAAGCAGTCAGTTGAAAATAGATGTTCATCAACAAGAGCGAATAGAAATCGGTTGGCTTCACCTCTTGTAAACATTACAGTAAGATGTGTAGAATCGATTTGGCCCATCCTCATTTTGTTCACATCTCCTGGTTTCGGTGTTGGCTTGACAGTTGGTTTCCTGTTCATTACTTTCGTTATCTCCTGATCCATAGCAGCAAGCTCATGGA